AAAGATTGAGCACAGGTGTCAAATCCATAAATTTGAAAAGTTTGGTTTAACCACAGGACCTTCAACTCAACCAGCTCCTCTGGTTGAGTCGGCGCACCTGTGGCTAAAATCAAACGGTGGCGGTGCTCTTTTCTGGCTCTCTCGCACACTGAGACAAATGATCAGATTCGCTGTCTGGCTTTCTCAGACCTTGCTGATGATCTGATCATTTGAATCAGGTGTTGCACCAGGGGGAAATGGGGGAGGGGAAAAGGGCGCGAGAGTGGCCCCAAGACATTTGCTCAACATGTGCGTTTGTCCTGCTCTGATCTACCAGGTGGTGCTGAAGAACCAGATAACACGTTGTGAAGTCGAGTCGTCAACGTTTGGGCCTGTCGCAGATTTCCAATCCAAGTCCTGGAACTGTTGGCTGGAGGTGGCGCTGGTGCAGGCCCTCAGAAAACGTGGCGTCACGAGCCACCTGATGTCATGCACGCTGTCAGGTGATGGAAGCTACAACCAAAAAGCATACTTTATTTTCAAGCACACTCACCTGCTTTTTCTTTGACTCTGCATGCAGTGCAGCTTCCAGTCAGTGCTGTCAGAGACCTCCACCTGCTGGGCAAAGAGACAAATGCGACAAGCTTGTAGCAGGTTGCTGCCTCCATTTTTCAACGTTGCCGTTCAAAGGTATGAAAAAGGAGCTTGATGGGTCTCGTTTGTTGCATTGGCAGGTTTGACAGCCTTGGATTCGTCACTGGACCAGGAGCAGCTTGGCCTGTTGGTGCTGATGATGCTCAGTGTTGCATTCCAGTCTCCAGCAAATCAACACTTGAAAATGAAGCGCTCGTGCGGCAGCAGCGGAGAGTAAAATGGAACGACGTTTTTGTTTAGTAATTGGTGTCTACTCACCTGTGCTTTGTCATCCAGATGAGCCGGTGGAGTGTGATGAGGCAAAATGTGACTCTGAGCCATCTGCTGGTAAGAAGTCACATTTCATTTCAACAATCGTTAGATTTAGAGCGATCTGATTGGTCAGAAATTGGAAAGTGGGCGTGGTTATGCAAATCAACGCGATCTGATTGGTTATGCAAATTTATGCAAATGAGGGCCTCGACGTGATTGGTGGATGTGAAATTGGGTGTGGTTTGGGCAGGCTTTGCAGAAAAATTTCTAAGTCCCACTTGAGTTTTGAGGTGAGAGTTGCACTTCGGGCACACCTTGGTCCCCCCCCCCCTTACAGAAGCAGCAGTGAACATGATCGGCTTCCTGCACAAAAGACCCAACAACTTGTCTGTCTTGCTGGTAAGTTTCATGCCAAAAACATCTTTGTCTGCACAAGAAATTGACTTGCGTGTAACTTATGGATGTCTTTCCTCTCAGGTCAACGCACCTGTCCGACGTTCTCATGAGCCGACTACTTCACCACCCAGCGACGTGCAGACTGCCATCCAACTTGCAACTTTTTCCTCTGCTTTGTGATTGTCTGTTCTGCAAAAGAAATAAAGCTTGATTACAAAGAACACTTAAGCTCTCAACTTCATTCTTAAGCACATCACAAAAATATAACTTAAAACAATTTAAAACCTTTAACAAAAAAAAAAAAATTCCTACTTTTTTTTTCGAGAATTTTTTTTTTAAAAAAATTTTTTCCAAAAATTTTTTTCTGGATTTTTTTTTTCTGGGATTTTTTTCCAAGGGCGGGCGCACTCACCTCCACCTTGTGGTGCGACGTGACATCAGGCATCAGCTCTTCAATCACACCACACTGTTCAATACTCACATGTGTCCAAATGCAGGTTGGCCTCAACTTCCGCATGTCCTCCGAGGCTGTCGGCTGCACCTTTGGCCCAGTCACCTCTTCAATCTGGACAGGGGGACATGAGCACGTCCGACTTCTCTAACTGAGACAAAAACTAAATGCCGTGTACTCCACAACATCATGATCGGTCTGATTGGTTATGTAAATTTATGCAAATGAGGGCCTCGCCGTGATTGGTGGACGTCAAATTGGGTGTGGTTTGGGCAGCCTTTGCAGAAAATTTTCTAAGTCCCACTTGAGTTTTGAGGTGAGAGCGGCACTTCGGTCACACCAGACAGTCTTTTCACTGTTCCCGTCGGTTTCACATGACCCAAAAGCTCAATTCTTGGAGTTTCGAGTCATGTGGAGACTAACGGAATGGCAGTGTTACACTTGTGGCCATACGAGTGACTGATGTGCAACTCTCTCCTCAAGACTTGAGTCTTCGGGCGCACTCACCTCCACCTTGTGGTACAATGTGACATCAGGCATCAGCTCTTCAATCACACAACAAGACTCAAAATTCACGTGTCCAAATGCAGGTTGGCGTCCCTTCAGCATGTCCTCCGAGTCTGTCGGCTGCACCTTTGCCCCAGTCGCCTCTTCAATCTAGTCAGGCAGAAAAAACAAAAGTGGGAAGTCATACTCTTCTGTCTCCCCCCCACAAAAAAGTTCTTTTTTTTTGGGTTGGTTTTTGTTCTGATTTGTGTTATTCTTCACAGAATAAGTGGCACCTTCACTTCGAACACGTCCATTTCCAAATATGCCCGCTCGCGGCTTTCTCTCCACACCTGAAGTACATTGATCAACCTCCTTTCAATCAGCTGCTCAACTGTTGAAAAAACTCACTGTCGTTCTACCGTCCACTCAAGTTCCCGTAAATTGGAGACAGCAACTCTACCTCCTCCTCGCGGACGAAAACGGTATTTCAAAGTCATGAGAAATGCTCACGCCACATAGAGAAACACGTGAAAATCCTGAATGGATATGGGGACCCGAGAACACGTTTGAAAATGACGAGTATATTTGTGGATATTATCAACACGTATTTTATGAAATTGAGTATTTATTTTATGAAAACCACAAATATATTTCGAAAAGCAATTTCAAAAAAGTCACGGATGCATTTGTGGGAATAGTTTTGAGACAAATCCGCCCTCGTGTGTGAACTGGCCACCTTTGTTGTGTTTTTACGATAACTTACAGTGACTTCGTAACGATAGACAAATTAGAGGAGCGACGTGCCGTAATGATGCTCCGAAAATGTCTGCATCAATACATTTACATATAGTTCGTTAAAATGTTAAAATTACTCACTGTGAGCCCGGCTTGTAATCCGCGGAAATACTTCCTCGTTGAACCGGATGTGGTACCGTTCTTGTTTTGCCCTTGTTCTTCTTCTTCGTAGATTATATCTCCTTGGTCCATATCGCCCCCTGTTGTTCAGGAAGCCACAAAGGCATTTGGCAAGCAATCAGAATCGGAACCAAATTCACCGTCTTGGCCAAGAATGCAAAAACACAAAAGGAATTGACACTCCCAGTTACGACTCGTCCAGAGGAACACAAACATAACAACAAAGACCAAGATATTTGAACCCTCCCCCGACAAAGGTACCCAGAAAGTTGTAAATTTTTGGTGGGACAACACTTGTATAGTTGAGAGGCACTTCAGTCGAAGGTTTGTCATTCCTATTGTGCACCGGTAGACGGGCCCCTTACGTTTCATGAAGACCTTTTGTTGTGTTGTTTTGTTTGTTTGAAGCGTCACCACCTTCGACGACCAGCTCGAGCGTTCGCGGTCGAATTTTACAATGATTCTTACTGCTGTTACTGACATTGGAAAGCGAAATCGGGTTTTTTGTTTCCCTTGCCAATGGCGGACCCTCTGCTGGAGTTTGAGACCGAAATGTTTGTGAGACTGTCCGGCTGTGACGGGCTGCTCCTGGTGGCGCAGGGGCTGGGAATTGACCGCTTTCTGCTGCAGTTCATGCGGGTGTACTCGGAGCAAGGAGGCTACGACTTAACGCGACCACCTCCAAACAACTCACCCCCCCTCCAGCAGCTCAACACCACAAAGACATTTTGAGCATATTCAGAAAAAAATGCATGCGGTAATTTTATACAGTACATCTTGGTATCGACAGCGCTTTCATAACAGCTGTCAGAAAGCGGTTGGCAGAATTTTGGCAAATGATCCTCTGCCGGACGGTCAGGACGTCGCCCCCGCCCGCCGACATACAAGCCTCCTATTGACGCATTATCGTCGTTGCGGAAACTTTGTTTTGGAAGTGGTGGTGGCGTCTTGATTGGTATTTATTCCGCAAGACAGTGAATACTTTTGGGGGG